TAAAATATTTAAATAAGCACTGTAGTTCTTTGGCAGGATCACTAACAACCATCCTCCATCTTGAGAGGGCTATGTTTCATCAGAATCATCAGAAATATGCATTTAGCAGCTACCAGCTGGTCCAATGCATGCGAGGCGAGAAGGATGGGAGGACAGGGTTGGAGGAGGAGAGCTTTCCTTGGAGTGTCTCATTATCTGTGTTCCTTTCTCTTTGTGGCATTCTGTCAAGGGATCATTACTGCCTTCAGGTTCTCACCTTCCTCCTACTCACTCACACACAGATTATCAATGGGCCTGGATCCTAAACCTTGGCTTCCCTGCTGTGTAACCTTGGGCTAGCAACCTAACCTTTCTGGGCCTCATTTTCCCCATCTGTAAAATGGGGATAAGACTGATACATATGACCATGCTTTGTTGCACAAAGTACTTAAGACAGATAAATAAGGTAACTCTGAGAATAAATGAGATCTAAAATATCTAGCATAGTACTCGGCACATTGTAAGTCCTTGATTCATATACAACAAAAACTGATTATTCTAATATCAGTTCTATAATTCTTCGTTACATTTGAATAGCATTCAATACTTTGTAAGATAACTGTAATCACTATTTCCTGTGCTCCTTACAACAACCTGGTGCAACTGGCAGGAAAGGTCTACTACCCCACTTTACACATCATTGTCATGAAAATTTATTGTGTACCCACTATGAATAGGGAACTGAGCTAGGAATTTAGGGATGTATAACACACACACTGGCATCCACAATGGTTTAGTGGGTGTCCTTTTCTATGACAGAGTACGCAGTCAATCTCTGGGAAAGGAAAAGTATAAGATAATAGAAAATATATATATTGGTCTCTACCTCTGGTCCCTGGCACAGAGCTCTTAAAACTCTTGTCATTTCCTAAGTGATAAGAGCCCTAAGAGCATCTTGTAATATTTGATCTTTGCTAATGTGGAGGAGACTCTGGGTGGGTCCCGGATGGCTCCTGGATGAGGGCTGGTCTACGGAGAGACCAAACCATGATTAGAAGCTTAATATGCTCATCCCTGCCTCTCATTCTCTTGAGAAGGGAGAAGGGCTAAAAATGGAATTAATGATGATCATGCCTACCTGATGACATCTACATAGATATCCCAACAGTATGGAGTTCAGAGAGCTTCTAGGCTGACAAACACATGGAGGTGCTGGGAGAGATGCTCACCAGGAGATGACATGGAAGCTCCACGCCCCTTCCCATGTACCTCGCCCTACACATTTCCTCCATCTCGATGGTCATCTGCATCCTTTATTGTATGCTTTTAGAATAAACTGGTAAACATAAATAAATGTTTCCCTGGGTTCTGGGAGCCAGTCTAGCAAATTAATCAAACCCAAGGAACCTCTGATCTCTAGCCCGTCGATCAGAAGCACAGGTGATAACCTGTACTTATGATTGGCATCTGAAGTGTGTGGGGGGGTGCATCTTGTAGGACTGAGCCCTTTGCTTTGGGACCTAATGCTAAACCCAGGTAGATGGCGTCAGGATGAGTTGAACTGTAGGACATCCAGCTGGTGTTGGAACATTTCTTGTTGGAACCCACCTACTCCCCTAACATTGGAAATCAGTGATCGGTACCCACTAAAGAGAAAAATCCAGATTCTTCCTAGTTTTGTGTTTTTCTTGTTACACTCTGCCCTTTACTGACTGGAGGTGAAGGCTACTTCTGTGGCCACAGTGAGGCACCGTAGCTTCAAAGAAGCACATGGGGGAGGGAGACCCGTAAAATTATGCTTTCCCTACTTCCTCAAGGGCAACTTTGTGGCCTCCTAGAAATTATATTTATGACTTACACAATGAAATGATACATAGCAGTCAAAATAAATAAAATACACGACATGCAACGATATGGATATCACTTAGCAAAATAATAGTAAATGAAAAAAGTAAGTCTCAGAGTTACTTAGTTACATAAGCACAGGACTTAGTAAAGAAAAAATAAATGAAAAACTGTATCAAAAGAAAGCAAGGGGACAATCAACATGGAATTTGGAAGGGCAGTTAGGTCAGGTAGGGAGATGCAGGGAGGATAGGAGGGAAGGACATGTGGTCGGTAGTAGGTTATTATTAAATCTTAGTGTTCACATTGGAGAATGGTTTCCAAAGTGCTTATTACATTATAGAAATCAATAGAGAGAGAGGAGAATCAATGGGAGGGAAAGACAAAGGAAACAAGGAAGGAAGTGAGGGAGGGAGGGAAGGAGGAAGGAAGGAAGGAAGGAAGGAAGGAAGGAATGAAGCAAGGA